ATTTAAATAATGTATAATATGATTTAATTTGTAATAAACATCAGGTATTAGCAATAAAATATAATACACATAAAAACTTGACGATTTCCTTCGTTATCTTCACTAATTAATACTCGTGTTTCATTATTTTAGAATAACGTAGAATAACATAAAATATATTATGCGAAACAATCAGAAAGAATTGATATTCTCTCTACGTAAATTGAAATGTATTACAAAAACAACAATATTATACGTTTGATTGTAGTTCTGCATTAATTCTAGCAAGTTAGAAAGATATAGATTATATACAGATGTAAAAATAGAAATATTTGTCTTACATATTATTCTTAGCATGTTGTACCGTTTCTGATTTTTAAGTTACTGCTCAACAGGTATATTACATAATATTGGGCCAATGCGAGTTCTTGCCTGAGATTTGATAAAAGATATTATTTCATTCACACATTATCATTTACATTTTATAATAAAATTTTTTATGAAGTCATCTGCGTTCTCTATCATTCTTTTTAGAAGGAGATGGATTCCTTTTTCGTAGAAACTTATTGATCCACTATTATCGCCGTCACGAGAAAACATGCCCGTTTTGCGCAGCTTAGAGGTAGTGGGGTAACTGAATACGTAGATCCGAGTAGTGGCGACGATATGGACAGCATTAACGAGAAAGAGAGAGATGCGCACAGTGATCGGAAACTGGTCTTTGTGCAGGTATGTTCTCTTGTGACGGCGACGATAGATATTCTTGTACACAAATCAACCTAAATCAACTGAGATTTATAAGGGATATTGTAAGATTTATCTTTCGATAGGTTTGTACAACGTAATGCTAAAACATACATCCATGTCGATTTATGACAAGATCTAACCCGCCTCTAAAAATCGGGTACGAATTTTTGCACCGACTTAATATTTCTCAATAAAGCTAAAATTTACTTATATGTATTTATTCATTGATCAGCAAAAGAGTTTAATATAAAAACGTATTTAAAGATTGCAAAGATCTTAATTTTGATTCTGTGCGTAATAATGAAAAAACGTAATTTAATAGTCCTTAACTTCAGAATGCTTTTCTAAATACTAATAATAAAAATATAGGTTGCTCCGTCTCCTCTTAATCTTAAAAAGATTAAAAATGTAAATGTTTAGTTTTCAAAAATTCAATTTAGAATCTAATAAAAATATGTCATAAAAATTCTCAAGACCATAG